ATTTGTGTTTATCTGTCTTAATTATTATTACCCCACTGAATGAAGAAAGTAAGAATTCATTATTATCTAGAGACTATTAATAACAGGAGGTGAAATGCAGCTGCAGACGAGCAGAGCATGTGGTGATGTCATCAGTACGCTTCTGTTCCAATTGATCCATATTTATGCTTCGTGCTTCCGTTCCCATCTAGACTTTCCTCTGTTCTTCTCAAGAACATACTTGGCGAGAACATGAGTCTGTACTCGCGTTCTTGTGAATTGAGAAATGGCCAGTGTGTGTGTGTGTGTGTGTTGGAGGTTTCCACGGTAACGCAGCAGCTTCTCCATCCAAAGCGAAGCAGTAGAAGCTTCCTGACTGCAGGCTTTACAGAACCTGCAGTGATTCTGGAATATCTCTGATTGAGGACCCGGCAGGATCAGAGTCTAACCCTGCTGTGGACTCTCTCCCTGACCCGTCTCCATGTTCCTCGGCCCTCATGGTTCTGTTTGTTCACGTTGTTCTCAAACAGAGCTGCAGAGAACACTGTGTGTGCTGGAGGACCCCGTCCTCTCTCTGGCTGTCCCAGCTCTGTCCGCAGAGCGGTCTCCGTTGTGTGAGAAGAAGTGTTCAGCTCTGAAGGATCTGCGTGGGATCGGCAGAGCCTTTTGTGTTCCCAGTACATCAGGTCCGCGGCCGCGGTGAGAGACCTCCAGGCTCGTCCCCCTGCCAGCAGTTGCTTGTGTGAGACCACAGAGGGGCCTTTGTGGCAGCGGGGTTCGGCTCTGGCTTCATCCCAAGGCACAGTGCTCGCCTGTGTTTGTTCAGCCAAACAGAAGAGTTGGCAGTCGGAGCAGAACCGAGCCTCCTAACCTGGACGGACTCTGCTGCTCGCTCAGCCAGAAGCTCCTGGATCCGTTAAAGAGCAAATCGCCTTTATAATAAGGATATATTAGAGATGCATCCATCAGTTTATTTTGGCTTACGTCTGTTTTTATTATTATTATTTGAAAAGGTATTTATTACAGAGGCAATCCTCTTCATCGTTTTAATGTCTGCTTTTCCAGTTTTACTCCAAACTCGTTGAACAAGGCGGCTATTCTTGGCCCTTTGCCTCGGCTGACTCACTTAGAGCCGCGCCTTCTTCTTCTAAATTCATTCATCAAGTCAAAACAAATGAAATTCCATCTGTAATTTCCATGCAGGCTGAGGAAGAATACTTCCTCTTTCCAGCTGTTAAACTTGAGTTCAGATCTTAATTATTTCATAATTGCCCTTAAAGCAATAGAGGATGATCTTTTATTTCCGGGTGGATCATC